TGGTTTTCAAAATGTTTTACAAATAAATATCTGAAAAGAGTGGCGTTCATTTGTATTCAGCCCCCTAAGTCAATACATTGTAGAACCACCTTTCGCTGCAAATACAGCTGCAAGTCTTTTTGGGTATGTTTCTACCAGCTTTGCACATCTAGAGAGTGACATTTTTGCCCATTCTTCTTTGCAAAATAGCTCAAGCTCTATCAGATTGGATGGAGAGCGTCTGTGAACAGCAATTTTCAAGTCTTGCTACAGATTCTCAATTGGATTTAGGTCTGGACTTGACTAGGCCGTTCTAACACATGAATATGATCTTAACTATTCCATTGTAGCTCTGGTTGTATGTTTAGGGTCATTGTCCTGCTGGAAGGTGAACCTCCACCCCAGTCTCAAGTCTTTTGCAGACTAACAGGTTTTCTTCTAAGATTGCCCTGTATTTGGCTCCATCCATCTTCCCATCAACTCTGACCAGCTTCCTTGTCCTTGCTGAAGAAAAGCATCCCACAACATGATGCTGCCACCACCATGTTTCACAGTGGGGATGGTGTGTTCAAGGTGATGTGTAGTGTTAGTTTTCCGCCGCACATAGCATTTGCTTTTAGGTCAGAAAGTTCAATTTTGGTCTTATTTGACCAAAGCACCTTCTTCCACATATTTGCCGTGTCCCCCACATGCACAAACACAAACTGCAAACGGGACTTCTTATGGCTTTATTTCAACAATGACTTTCTTCTTGCCACTCTTCCATAAAGGCCAGATTTCTGGAGTGCACGACTAATAGTTGTCCTGTGGACAGATTCTCCTACCTGAGCTGTGGATCTCTGCAGGTCCTCCGGAGTTATCATGGGCCTCTTGGCTGCTTCTCTGATTAATGCTCTCCTTGCCTGGCCTGTTAATTTAGGTGGACAGCCATGTCTTGGTAGGTTTGCAGTTGTGCTATACTCTTTCCATTTTCAGATGATGGATTGAACAGTGCTCCGTGAGATGTTCAAAGCTTGGGATATTTTTTATAACCTAACCCTGATTTAAACTTATCCACAACTTTATCCCTGACCTGTCTGGTGTGTTCCTTGGCCTTCATGATGCTGTTTGTTCACTAATGTTCTCTAGCAAACTTCTGGGGGCTTCACAGAACAGCTGTATTTATACTGAGATTAAATTACACACAGGTGGACTCTATTTACTAATTAGGTGACTTCTGAAGGCAACTGGTTCCACTAGAATTTAGTTAGGGGTATCAGAGTAAAGGGGGCTGAATACAAATGCACACCACACTTTTTAAGATATTTTTTTGTAAAAAATTTTGAAAACCATTTATCATTTTCCTTCCACTTCACAATTATGTGTCACTTTGTGTTGGTCTACCACATAAAATCCTAATAAAATACATTTACGTTTTTGGTTGTAACATGACAAAATGTGGAAAATTTGAAGGGGTATGAAGACTTTTTTAAGGCACTGTAGGATGTCAATTCAGTAAAGAATCATTTTATACTGATCTGCTTTCAAGTCAGATTCCCAGCTAAGCTCAGATAAAATTTAGCTTTTATAATTGCCCTGAACCTGACTGGATATTTGTAAAGAATTCAGTACCTTTAGTAAATCACTCACCTCTTCTAAAGTCTGTTTTTCTTCTATAAAGTAGGTATTTCCTAGTGGGTGTTCTGAAACTTTTTTTTTCTTTTCACAGTGCATTCACCGAGATCTTGCAGCAAGAAATATTCTCCTCACTCATGGTCGAATAACGAAAATCTGTGACTTCGGCCTAGCCCGAGACATCAAGAATGACTCAAATTATGTGGTTAAAGGAAATGTAAGTCAAAGCAGGTGTAATTCAGTTAGCATCACTCAACGTTCTCAAATTGACTTAGAAAACACAGAGAAGATAGCAAATCACATCAGGGCACTCTCTCGCTTGTAGACTGCCTAATGATTTGGCGATATAATTTAGCATTTCATGTAAAAATGACACTTTAGTAGACCTGTGAGACACATTTTTGATGTTCATAATGGAAGGATTGTACATAATGTACTTTTCAGTGAAAAAATATAAAATCTATTGATCGCCTTAAACTGATTTATATTTGACAGAAAGGGTAGTTCATCTGCTAAGAACAATCACAATATAGGTGAGCATATATTTTTTACAAAATGTTGTTTCCTTTGATATCCCTCACTGATAAAAGAAAACCTTAATATTCAGTAGCAGATATGCAATGGAAGCAAGTTTTTATGCCGCCTTGATCCTTTAATTGTTTTAAAAAGCTTTGCATCAATACCCTTTACCGTGTAAAATGAGCACAGCTGTGATTAGAAATCACAGTTACTGTTGAGCCCCATTCACACAGCTCCCTAATTTAAGCCAATACTAGAATCAGTAGTTTCAGATAACATCTTTAATTTGATTTGTCATTGGTGTACCCCAGGTGTCATAGGGTACTTTGCCTGTTAATGTAAATTTAAAATGTCAGAAGTAGAGAGAAGTAAGAAGTAGAGATCTAAGTCTTTTAGTTATTTCAAACATAAGAGATTGTAATCAGAACTGTATAACACAATAAAGGCTAAAAAGCAATGCATAGTAGATCCATTTTAGGAGTGGTTGATAGGCAGCTGGGTGATGATATGTCGCCTCCTCATTGCCTGTTTTAACCCTAAGCAAGCCAATTGACCGTGTTGTATGCAGACGCAGTTTAGTTGCGGCCCCCTATTAACTTAATTAATGGGTCAGCGGTAGTACTGCCTGGTGGTATTGCCTGCCAAATGCAACAAGAGGTTTCATTTTTGGTGAAGACATGATGCAAAGCATCATGGCTTTTGGGCTTTTGACTTTTATTGGATGTTCTCACGTACAAAATTAACTGTATTTCTATATTACTAAACTTCCATGCTAAATGTCATGATATTAACTATATTGTGTAACAATCTTGGAGGTTCTGTAGGTGGATTTTGTAGGAAGAGGTTCCTTAAAGTGGAATTTCACCCCTCCCTTCCTCCGCTTACACCTTTAGACACAATTTTTTTTTTTTTTTGGGGGGGGGGGGGGGGGGGGGGTATCTAGTTTTGACAAGTAACTGCTTCCACTTTGACTCACGCCCCTCTTTTTCCCCCTCAGCTTTCTGGGACACGTCATAAGTCCCAGAAAGCTTCGGGACCATTCACAAAATGAAGCGCAGCTCGCGGAGTACGAAGCTGGCTGTGAAGCCACTAGGACTCACAACCAACTTTGCTTAGTAAAGGGACCCAAAAAAACCGTCTCGGGTGAGAACAGTGCTGCTAAGTGTCCTTATATTAAAAGTCAGCAGCTACAGTATTTGTAGCTGCTGAGTTTTAATTTTTTTGGGGGTACTGAAGACCCTTTTTTAACTGCTAAAAAGGAAGCTTTATAGTATGGAACGTGGGAAAGTGGGATAGTAGTTCAATTCTGTTTGAACTTTTCTTTCTCCAGAACAAGCCTATTTACAAAAAGCAGAACAATTCCTCTGTTTTATCTCCTGAAATAGATTGAGTTAAGATGCAAAACACAATACAGGCAGAGACCATATAAAAATGTCATTAAACGCTGTCTGTGTTAAGCAGAGATGTAGCAGATGAAACCAAATTGTAATGGTGAGAGAAATGTTTATTTATGTTTGAAAAACAAAGTGGTTTGATCTGACTTGTAATATCAGCAAATATTGAAGTAAATTGCTCAGAGTATCTGAAGTACAATCTGTTACAACAGACATTTCAGAATCTGAAATTGTAACTTTATAACGTGATCTGTATAAGGAGAGCAACCATTGTGGCTTGGCCTCCCCTTTATCTGGGTTAGTATAACTGTGGTATAAGAGGTTTTCTAGGTCAGAAAATATTTACCTAGCTACCTTTAAAGCAACATTCCGTTTTGTAGTTTATCTCAGTATGAAGACATTATCATCGTCACCACTGATTAACTAGAACTCTCAATACCATTTTCCTAGGCTCGCCTCCCAGTCAAGTGGATGGCTCCTGAAAGCATATTTCATTGTGTATATACTTTTGAAAGTGACGTCTGGTCCTATGGAATACTTCTTTGGGAGATCTTTTCTTTAGGTAGGTTCCTAATATTTTATTTTCAGTAGCAACAATCAGAGGTAAACTAATATATTACTGTTATTATATGTGCTATATATTAAATCCAGGGAAAAGAGGTGACTACAGCAAAATTGATTTTACATTTTAGGTAGATGAATGCAAGGCAAATTACAAAATTGCTTGTTAAAGCATTCAGGCATCCCGGTGTTAGGATCTGTTTTCCTGAGATCTTAGATACACCCACATGCCATGACCATTACTAGAGGTCTCACTCTTGTTGAATCTTTCATTTGATTATATTGTGGAAAATAAACAGAAGTGAAATTCCACCTTTTTACAGCAGGAGGAGGAATCCATAATAATTTGGGTAGAACCTGTAAAAGGTAAATTGTATCATGTGGTTGGATTTCTCAGCCAGTGGGTTTTTAAACGGACTAAAATCCATCCATAGATAATTTTTTTTTTTTTTTTTTTTAACAATTTCCAAAATGTTTCAAGTGTATATTAAAAATGGGAAAATAAGCAAATGTTTTTACTTGGGCCTTTGAGCAAAAATCATATCAGTTTACACAGGTTGATCATTACAGCTGAACTTCAAACAGACAACTAAATATGCAGTTGAAATGGGAGCAGTATAAATGCCAAAAAATTTATCCTTCTGGCTGTTCAGATTTTTACTCAGCTCTGCTACACAGCACATCCAGTTGCTGATCTGTCTTTTTTATACTGCAGTTACAAAGGTTAGCTAGGTCACATCTCTGCCTCCAGGCTGTGATTGGCCAGTGAGGGAGCAACAGCAGACTGATGAGCTCATCCTTTGCTGCTGCTCTTTCTGTGTTCATGGTCACTGTCAGCACATATGATTGGCTTTAATGTTGCCCCTCCCCTCCCAATCAGAGTTCTACTATACTGGGGCTTTAATAAGCTAATGCAGATACATATATTAGTTGCATTGGAAAATTAATGTATTATATGTAATACATAACTGCGTTCGTTTATCTGCCTGAAGTATACACATACAGTATGTGTATATATGTGTGTATATATGTGTGTATATATATATATATATATACACACACTATATTGCCAAAAGTATTGAAACATCCCTCCAGGTGTTCCAAACACCTCCATGGCCACGGGTGTATAAAATCAAGCACCTAGGCATGCAGACTGCTTCTACAAACATTTGTGAAAGAATGGGTCACTCTCAGGAGCTCCGTGAATTCAAGCGTGGTACGTGATAGGTTGCCACCTATGCAATAAGTCCATCTGTGAAATTTCCTTGCTACTAAATATTCCCCAGGCAACTGTTAGTGGTATTATAACAAAGTGGAAGCAACTGGGAACAACAGCAACTCAGCCTACCACGTAAAACGACAGATCAGGGTCAGAGAATGCTGAAGTGCACAGTTCGCAGAAGTCGCCAACTGTCTGCAGAGTCAATAGCTAAAGACCTCCAAACTTCGCGTGGCCTTCAGAGTACCGTAGTACAACAACAGTGTGTAGAGAGCTTCATGGAATGGGTTGCCATGGCCAAGCAGCTGCATCAAAGCCTTACATCACAAAGTGCAATGCAAAGCGTCGGATGCAGTGGTGTAAAGCATGCCGCCACTGGACTCTAGAGCAGTGGAGACGTGTTCTCTGGAGTGATGAATCATGCTTCTCTGTCTGGCAATCCAATGGACGTGTCTGGGTTTGACAGTTGCCAGGAGAATAGTACTTGCCTGGCTGCATTGTGCCAAGTGTAAAGTCTGGTAGAGGGGGATTATGGTGTGGGGTTGTTTTTCAGGGGTTGGAGTTGGTCCTTTAGTTCCAGTGAAGGGAACTCTTGAGGTGTCAGCAAACCAAGACATTTTGGACAATTTCATGCTCCCAACTTTGTGGGAACAGTTTGGGGATGGCCCCTTTCTGTTCCAACATGACTGTCCACCAGTGCACAAAGCAAGGCCCATAAAGACATGACTGAGTGTGTTTGGGGTGGAGGAACTTGAGTGGCCAGCACAGAGTCCTGACCTCAACCCCAAAGAACACCTTTGGGATGAATTAGAGCGGAGAGTGCGAGCCAGGCATTCTCATCCAACATCAGTGACTGACCTCACAAATGGGCTTCTGATAGAATGGTCAAACCTTCCCATAGACACACTCCTAAATCTTGTGGACAGCCTTCCCAGAAGAGTTGAAGCTGTTATAGCTGCAAAGGGTGGGCCAACTCAATATTGAACCCTACGGACTAAGACTGGGATGCCATTAAAGTTCATGTGCATGTAAAGGCAGGCATCCCAATACTATTGGCAATATAGTGTGTGTGTACGTGTGTGTGTGTGTGTGTATGTGTATATGTATGTATGTATATATATATATATATATATATATATAATTTTTTATTTTTTATTTTGTTTTCCTCCTTAAAGGTAAACTTCAAGCAAATAAACAGTGATGGAGTTTATGTGTTAATTACATATATATAATACTGGTTATACTTTATACATGAAAAATAATCTTTGCAGGTCCGAAACTGGATACAAGTGAACAACCTTAAGTAAATTTACAAGGTGTTGCAGATTGGGACTTTTTTGTCTGATTATATATTTTAGATTGAGTGTATTCATATATCTGCCTTGCACCGTTTGGACTGTATATTTTATTGTGTGCTGTCCCAATATACAGATACACCTATTTTTATAAATAGGGATTTTTTTTTTTACTTTCTTTAATTTACCATAATGTATTACCATACATTCTATGGTAATATAAATGTTTTGCTTCAGATATTTAATTTTCATTTTATTAGCTTTCTTATTCACTTAATTCAAAATGCTTAAGTAAGATATATATATATATTGGATTTAAAATGTCTACACACCCCTGTTAAAGTGTCCGGTTTCTGTGATGTAGAAAAATGAGACAAAAGTAAATAATTTCAGAACTTTTTCCACCTTTTATTGTAACTTATAAACTGTACAACTCAGTTGAACAACAAACTGAAATCTTTTAGGTGGAGGGAAGTAAAAATAAAAAACTAAAATAATATGGTTGCATAAGTGTGCACACCCTTAAACTAATACTGTGTTGAAGCACCTTTTGATTTGATTCCAGCACTCATTATTTTTGGGTATGAGTCTATCAGTATGGCACATCTTGACTTGACAATATTTGCCCACTCTTCCTTGCAAAAACACTTGAAATCTGTCAGATTGCGAAGGCATCTCCTGTGCACAGCCCTCTTCAGATCACCCCACAGATGTTTGATCAGATACAGGTCTGGGCTCTGTCTGGGCCATTCCAAAACTTTAATCTTCTTGTGGTGAAGCCATTCCTTTGTTGATCTGGATGTGTGCTTTGGGTCCTTGTCATTCTGCAAGATGAAGTTCCACTTCATGTTCAGCAGAAGCCTGAAGGTTTTGTGCCAATATTGACTGGTATTTGGAACTGTTCATAAGTCCCTCTACCTTGACTTAAGGCCCCATTTCCAGCTGAAGAAAAACAGCCCCAAAGCATGATGCTACCACCACCATGAATCACTGTAGGTATGGTGTTCTTTTGGTGATGTGCAGTGTTGTTTTTGCGCCAAACATATCTTTTGGAATTATGGAAAAAAAAGTTCAACCTTGGTTTCATCAGACCAGAACACATGCTTTTGGGAGACTAAAGATGTATTTATGCAAAATTTACCCAGGCTTGGATGTTTTTCTTCGTAAGAAAAGGCTTCTGTCTTGCCTCTCTAACCCAAAGCTCAGACATGTGAAGAATACGGGAGATTGTTGTCACATGTACCACACAGCCAGTACTTGCCAGATATTCCTGCAGCTCCTTTAACCAATTCATTACCGTGCAATTTTACACCTTCCTGCCCAGGCCATTTTTCAGGTTTCAGCGCTCTCACACTTTGAATGACAATTGCGCAGTCATACAACATTGTACCCAAACTAAAATTTTATCATTTTCTTCACACATCTAGAGCTTTCTTTTGGTGGTATTTAATCACCGCTGGGGTTTTTATTTTTTGCTAAATTAACAAAAAAGACCTAAAAATTTTGAAAAAAAAAACACATTTTTCTTTGTTTCTGTTATAAAAGTTTGCAAAAAAAAATAATTGTTCTTCATAAATTTAGGCCGAGATGTCTTCTGCTACATGTCTTTGGTGAAAATAACCCAAATTAGGATGTATTTTTTAGTTTGTAGGAAGGTTATAGAGTTCACAAACTATGGTAAAGATCTGAATATTGATCAATCCTGAAGTACTGACAGCCAATCTAATATCTTGAGGTCCAAGAATGTCAGAATAGTACAGATATCCCCCAAATGACCACTTTTTGCAAAGTAGACAGTCTGACGTACTACATAAGAGACATGGCGAGTTTTTTGAAGTTGTATTTTTTTTGTCATAATTTTTCGGAAAATGAAAAAATAAAAAAAAATATTTTCACTTTTTTTTTTTTACATACTGTCACCAGTGCAGTGCAGCGTCATCATATAACTGGCATGGCGGTGATCAGGGACACTGACCGGTGACAGTGTGAAAAAAAAAAAAATATATTTTTTTTTTTTTTTTACATTTCTTATAAAATTTTTCTTTTTTTTTTTTTAAGATTTTTTTTTCATATTTCACTATGTCCAAAGTAGTACAATGTTACCATAGTAACATTGTAATACTTTGGGGAAGTGATCAGTATTTTTTTTTTTTTTTACACAATTTGCTTATAGCAAAGAATTACTTTGCTATAAGCAAGCATTTACCTGAATAACATCGATTCATTCAGGTTTTTTTTTTTTTTGTGCTTAGCTGTGATTTGGCCACAGCTAATCACATGACATGTGCATGTGATTAACTGTGACCATTCACAGCTAGGCACTAGTATACAATGGATGGGATGAATGAAGCCATCCATTGTATACAACTGTCATGTGACCTGCTGTGATTGGTCACAGCAGGTCACATGTACCGGCAACGGGGCCGATACTCGGATCTGTCATCGGCCGTGTCCAAGGTACACGGCCGGTGACAGATCGCACCGCTGCACGGCTCTGCAAGCGCGCGATCTGCGCATGTGCGGGAGCACGCCATATGGCGGCCTCCCGGAGAGGTAATGCATTTTTGCGGACGCCATTTGGCCATAGGCCAGGCGTCAAATGGTTAATATTGCTATAGGCCTGTTGGCAGCCTCCCAGACTAGTTTTCTTCTCGTCTATTCTTCAATTTTGGAGGGACGTCCAGTTCTTGGTAATGTCACTGTTGTGCCATATTTTCTCCACTTGATGATGACTGTCTTCACTGTGTTCCATGGTATAGCTAATGCCTTGGAAATTCTTTTGTACCCTTTTCCTGACTGATACCTTTTAACAATGAGATCCCTCTGATGCTTTGGAAGCTCTCTGCAGACCATGGCTTTTACTGTAGGATGCGTCCAAGAAAATGTCAGGAAAGACCTTACTAGAACAGCTGAACTTTATTTAGGGTTAATCAGAGGTACATTAAATGATGGCAGGTGTGTACTGACTCCTATTTAACATCATTTTGAATATGATTGTTTCTGAACACAGCTACATCCCCAGTTATAAGAGGGTGTGCACACTTATGCAACCACATTATTTTAGTTTTTATGTTTACTCACACTCCCCCCCCCCCCCCCCCCAAAAAAAAATACAAGATTTCAGTTTGCTTTTTAATTGGGTTGTACGGTTTATTGGTCACTTTGAAGGTGGAAAAAGTCTGAAATTATTTACCTTTGTCTAATTTTTTTACATCACAGAAACCTGACATTTTAACAGGGGTGTGTAGACTTTTTACATCCAGAGTTTGTGTGTGTGTGTATGTATGTATATGTGTGTGTGTGTATGTATGTGTGTGTGTATGTATATATATATATATATATATATATATGTAATTTTTTTTTTTTTTTCGTAAATTAATGAGGTTTCCAAAGCTAATGCTCTGTTTGAAAAGTGTTCTGTTTATATATTTCCTGTCCAGATAGGTGAATGTTTTTTTTCACTCTGTTCTGCCTTTGTAACATTTCACTGTTTGATTAATGTACAGGAAGCAGCCCTTACCCTCACATGCCAGTGGACTCCAAGTTCTACAAAATGATAAAGGATGGTTACCGCATGTTAAGCCCAGAGTGTGCACCAGCTGAGCTGTAAGTAACCACAGAAAACATTTTATTTTCTAGAACATGCTTTCTGTTTGAAAGTACAAGAAATGGGAACTTTGTAACTGTTTTTAAAAACAAAAAACATAATGTACCTAATGTAGACAAAGCTTAAAAGCCAAGTCCACCTTTAAAACAATAATAATAATAATAATCGTATATTTACAGCAAAACATTTGCATTTAATATTACTTTTCAAATCTGCTTGTGAAACAATGCAACCTCAGTTAGTGAATTGCAGGTACAATGTTAGGCTTCTGCAGACTTCCTCTAGTTATCTGTCCATTGTCTTGTCCTCTGCAGTGGAATACTGGACTTGTACTTCATTTACTCACAGGACTCCCCCGAATATCAACGCTGATCAAATGCTGGTTTTCCAGCAGGACCTTTCGACAGAATCCAGTCTTAACAAGAGAAAGCTACACACAAATCAAAAATTTCAATCCATTTATAGCCATGTAGAGAGTGAAAGAATTAGTAGATGTTCATAGGTCTGTTCAGCTTTACAATGATAAGCAGAGATGTCTATATAGCAAGAAAAGCTTTCATTATATAGAATCACATTGGTGTTTTAATTATAATCTACAGTATTTATACTGCAGGGAGGATTAATTAGTCTTCTAGTTCTGTGCAGGATCAGTGAGATACTTTTTGAGGCATATAGGGAATGAGCATGAAATCTTCAAATCTGTCAATGTGCTTTATTTAAAAAATGGCCCTGTTGCATTGTTGATTGAAAATATCTTTTTTTTTCCAGCTATGAAATAATGAAGAGCTGTTGGAATGCAGACCCAGTGAAAAGACCAACCTTTAAACAGATTGTACAGATGGTAGACCAGCAGATGTCAGACAGCAAAGGACATGTAAGTTCAATGTCCCTTTTAAAAGATACCGTGCTCCGAAAACATATTTAAAGATATATTTAAGGCATTTTTTTTAAAATAACAAACATGTCATACCTACCTGCTCTGTGCAGTGGTTTTGCACAGAGCAGCCCCTTTCCTTCTCTTTTCAGGTCCTCTGCTCCTCCCTTCTGCTGGGTGCCCCCAGAGCAAGCAGCTTGCTGTGGAAGCACCCAAGCAGGCGTGCTCCTGACTTGCTGCTCTGTGTGTCCATTCACACACAGAGGTGCAGCTCGGTCCCACCCTCTCTCTCCTCATTGACTCACTGGCTGTGATTGACAGCAGCAGGAGTCAATGGCTCCCACTGATTTCTCAGCCAATAAGGAGGAAGAGGTAAAAAACCTTGAGCCTTTACAGCCACTTTAAGGATTAGCGATGCAGAAAATTCTTCAGAATTGATTTAAACCGGATAATAGAAAAATGCTTGTAATTAGAGGTTAATTTTTAAAATAGTTCAAAGGTGTCCCTTAATTATCATTTTTAAGCTAAACGTTTTAAAAACTCCTCTTCGTGTTACTGTATCCAATTGGCTCTTTTACCTGCCTGAGTGGCCAATTAATAAAGCCAAACATTCCCCGTAGTCACCAGAAAGTGTCTCCAATGGAAGATTTCCCCTCTGTTCCTATGCTGGTGACAACCCATAAAATAAAGGCATCCGACATCAGTAAGTTGTCAAGGGAGAACTTGCTCCAGTTTCAGGAGGAAGTTTGTGGTTGATTTACTAAAGGCAAATAGGGTGTTCTCTTTGCAAGGGAATTTTTACTTTGCAAGGGATTTTCCCTTAGGGTAGTGAATATGGTGTAAATTCATTTTGCAAAGAATACCCAATCATATGCAAGGAAAATAAAAACATGTTTGGATGATGAATGTCGGCAGAGCTTCACCCCTTTCACTATGCTAAAGCTAATTTGCTTTTCAAAGTGAGCACCTATTTGCCTTTTTGTAAATCAAGCCTATTATCTTTATTGGAAAAATCTGGAGCTACAAGAGAAGCTCTTTAGTTAATAGTAACTTAGAGTCAGGTATATATATATATTTACATTTAATAATTATATGGATTGTCAGCATAATTTGGTCAACACCTTGCACTTATTTTTAGCAGAGTGCCACAAAGGAGAATTGACAACCAACAAATGACTTAATGTAGTGCAGCAAGCAATCAGAAAGAATTTTGTTATTGTTCTGACTGTTCTAAACAGGTGACATCAGGGTGTTATTTGTTAATCCTTTTTGCACATTGGCCTTCTTGTTTATACTGCCTTAATAAATCCTCCTAAATTTGGCTATAGTATTATGTAACGTAGAACTAACATTTTTTTTTTCATTTTTTTTTTGGATAGAGATGTGTTTTATTGAGGAGGTTGCCTTTCTCTTCTTGCCCCATAGCCAACAGAGGAATTCCCTCCAAAGTGAGGGAGTACCTGGTTGTCACCCGAGTCACCAGAACAAGTGTCTCCCAGGGAAAATTCCTCTCTGCTCCTGTTGGAATGACAACCCAAACTTTGGGGTTTTCTTTCATTTTCACTCTCAGTGATAATGCTAAAGAGAACAAATAGAGAGGGTGAATCTCCCTACCGAGGACATAGATAGCAAAAGGACTTTAACAGGTGTTCCTGTAACCCATCGCCACTTAGTCCAAAACTAAAAAAAAGAAAGTTTTGCCTTTTAGTTATACTTGATAAGAGAGATGAATGCAAGTTATATTCAAACAAGCGTTCTCTTAGTGTTATTTGTCTCCATGCACCATCAACACTAATTTAGAAATATGTCTGGTGGAACACGCTGGAATCCATAGTTTATTATACAGAATGCCTTAACAATTATTCTCAGAGCTAGGAAATATTCTCAATTCCTCTTCTTTTCTCAGAAACAAGCATATACAAACACGTCTCCTGTTTGTCCGAATCACGCTCCAGTGGATCACTCAGTGAGGATCAATTCTGTAGGAAGCAGCACCTCGTCCACTCAGCCTTTACTAGCTCACAGAGATTGCTGAATGACAACTCATGTCACCTCAAGCTGCTTGTGGACCCCTTATGTTTCATCATCACACACTCTTCCATATACAGTGATACCGCTGTGCAACACATAGAGAGTAGAGGAGGAGAAACAATGTAGCTGCTGACTCTGAAGAACGAACAGTCACTGCCAGGGGGGCCCAGTCATGTTACAGAATGACAAGCTATTGGCAACATCCCCTGCAGGAAATGTGATATCTGAAGACACAGTGACCTCTGCCTATAATCACATACTTGTATTGTTCCTTTATGGAGATGGCTTTGTATGGACACATCAGATGAAAGGTCAGCCTTTCATAATGTCCTGTGACAGCATCGGATGTAAACTCTTGAGATCCATGTTTCAAACTCACTGATAATAAAAATCTGAGCGTGGTTCGGGACTGTAAAATGTGACATTGCTTGTAACATAAGAAAGCATGCCAATGTTGTGATGTCTTGCAATTGCACAATTAATTCAAAAGCAGAATCCTACAGAATGCTTTTACATACTTTCAGCCTTATTTGTGAAAAGTTAAAGCGTTCCTATCACATTCTCAACACTTTGCAAATGCTGGTAACGAGGCACAATGCAGGATTGCCCGTGCTGTGGTAACGCAGTTGCTCAATCAGCTAGCCATTGCACTGCTGCTAACAACAGTTTACGCTGTCAGTTAATACGCCTGTGGAATCCAGTGCTTAGAATACTTATCACATTTCTTCCTAGTGAGTTGGTTACATACAAATAATTTTCTGCAGATATTTATTGAGGATTTTTGTGCACTTATTCCTATATGAGACATTTGGCAAATGTTTTAGTTATTAGAATTTAATTATTTGGATAATTTACCCTTTTTTTAGTACTGGTGGGATATCATGCCAAGTGATGTCAATGTTGGAGCTGAAATGAAGTTGCATGTACACTGGGCCCTGCTTTTATTATGTTAGGCTGTGAGCTCATGGTCTAATCACCAATGGCATAATAATGCACTATTGTGAAGTACTAACAAAATAACTTCACTGTTTTTAGTCGTTTAAGATTAGAGCCGGTACTAAAGATCCTCATTCATTTGATAAAGATTCTTATCTGTAAGGATCTACAAAAAACTAAAAGTAAAATATAGATGGTTATAGGAGTTATGTTGTTATTAGAAAGCCTACAGTTCCCTATAAGAAAGGTGCACAAGGCACCATAACCTGTTTGCACTGCAATTGTCTTTGCTATTTTTGCACCTTTTCAAATGTTGGCCTTTTCTGAAAATTGTAAAAAAAAAAAAAAAAAAAAAATGCTTTGACCTCTTGCTGTTAGATGACTGAATGGTTCGGCCAAGGCTTAAATAGAAGAGCTTGGACAAACTAAAGAAACATTTCTTTGCAATCAGACCATTAATAATAAGGTACTTTGGGGGCACTTAGTCAGACACTTTTATTTTAATGGTTTTAAGATACTATATTTTTGTACATTTTTTCCCCTTTTTTGTGTTATAGTTGTTACATTCAATGTGACTGGATGTTGACAAATCTTTTTTTGTTATTTTGTTTCTGTACATATAAGAATGTAGCAGTAAGTTCATTTTGCCCCTCCCTTTTCCCCAACCAAATATCCAAAGTATTTTTGTATGTATGTAAATAGATGTAAGTAGTGTTGCAAGTTTCCAAAATATTTGAGATATATTGCCTGATCATTAAGAGCCATTGTTAATAATAAACAGTTCTGTGGATGTTACGTTGGTCTTTGCCTTTTTCCATTTGTCTGACCTAAGTTTAGGGATGAATCACAGCCAATGAGTCATCCACGTATGCAGGTAAATTGCAGCTTGAACTACAGAGCCTGTAAACAAAAGGCTTTGTTCAACAGGGTGTAAATAAACAGAGATACATATGTTACAAAAAGCCTAACACTGGTTTAAGTTGTCCATGTCTGTCCATGCTTACATTTTAACTTCAGCATTATCTAAAGACATAAAACAGCTGCCCTTTATGAGAAAATGATCTGACTGATGCACATCTTGTTATACATTCATACATACTGTTTATCCATAAGTCCCAAACACATGCATGGTCTTAGGATACAAACTCCCATGGATCAAGATTTTAATTCTTACTGTATTTATGTATCATTTGTGAGAACAGACTAATGTAACTGTATTAATATTGTAGGTATCAGATATCACTGTATAACATAAGATGTATGCATTTACCTTGAGACACACAGGACAGTGCTAAGAATTATAGGAGATATGTATAGTGCAGCACCTTGGAGCTGAATTAATTAGGAATGGTTTGTAAAGAGCTTCACATTCATTTATTCACATGCAAAGTGTGCAAAGAAGAAGCACATGACTACATAGGTGTTTTGCCAAATGTAATTTAAAGACCTTGAGCCTTGCCTGATGTCATTTTTTTTTTAGATAGAAGGGCCCCAGCTGTCCATAAAATGGCAAACTCCATGTAAAATCAATGTTAATATCTGATACTCATATAATTTGATGCCATAAGGATGATTTACTAGAGGTCTATACTTTTGTCAGTTTAGTGGACGTGCATTCCCTTGTGAAGCAATAAACATAGATTCTAATGGCAGCTGTTAGAATTTAGCAGCTTCACACAGAGCCCCCAATTACTCTGAAGGCACATTATTTTTCTATTTTGTATAGTTCAGAAATAGGATTAGAGGAAATGAGAGTAAACTGCAAAATACGGAACCCACAGAAGACCTTCTTTGAGGTGTAAAAAGGAAAGTATATAGTTGCCCTGATGTACATAAATAATTACAATCTATATACAAAAATAAGGTAATCTGTAACCTTCATTGGGGAACACCACAGACTTCTTGTGCATAAGCCCTCTCAGAGGATGTACATTAAATAAAGGATATCTCCCCTTGCGGTCTTCACTCCTCTGCACAGGAAAGCAGAGTTCAGGTTTAGCTTAGTAAGCTTGAAGGCAGATTACATTTTTTTTTTTTTCTAAAAAGAGATGGATTTTACATCTTACATTCACAGCTTCCACTCCTGATCTAGAATGGAATATTAGTACCATATATTACAAAATATTACTACTTAGCTCTCAACAGTGTGGCAGCAAATTCCAGGCTGATGAAAATCAACACTGGATGAAGCTATGCATCTTTTAAAATCGCTGCAGTCTGCATTCACACCTGAGCAGAGTGTATTTCTAGTGATTTTGAGACATTTGGGCAGTTTTACAGGCATTTTACAACTGCTTTACAAGGCTTGTGCAAGTTGTTTGTATGCATATCAAGCTTAAGTTGTTTGTTTCCTAGGCTGGGCAGAAGAAAAGCAGTTTTAGGGAAGGAGATGAGTTTTCCAGCATAATAATGGTCGATTACAAAAAATAAGAAGCTCATGTACTTTTTTGAGCATACAGCAACAATGAGCTTACAAGTTTGAGCAGGGACAGTTAGAAAGAATGGGATTCTGCATGTTGAGCATAGTCAGGCATAGGGAAACAAGCTGTAAAATCTCAAGTGTGAATGGGAGCTTAGTGTCTGTTTAAATACAAATAAGGTGGGTATCTTAATCAGTCTTGATATCAGCTTCCAGTAATACACTGCATAGCAATGCCCAAATTGGGGAAGAGAAGTCCAACACTGAGAACCAAAAAGACTCTTCTGCAAAAAAGACATTTGAAGATAAGTAATTGTTCTGCTCCCCTACGGAGGCTAGGTCACTGGCAAACAAAAGGTTAAGAAAGCCCCACCTTGCCTCCAACCATTATGCCTCAGTTTTTGCTACTGTCCTAGGAAGTTGGACTTTTGCTTGACTTACTCAGTACACTGTAATTATTTTTTTCATTAGTGTCTTCAGTCATGACTTTAATTATGCTGCTTGAGCTTGTCTTTCTATAGCAGCTATCTGGATTGGCTTAATCTCGCATCCAGACCCCACTTGAGGCCAGCCTGGAATGGGACCTTCAGGCACTGGGCCTTGCACTGTGGTGCTTGTTCAGACCTTTGTGTCTTGTGTTAGTAAGCCATAGAGTACTCTCCAGATTCAGAGCCATGGCACAGCCTCTGGTGTGACCCAGTCTTTGAGGACACACATAGTAAATAAGGCCAGTCGGGCTAAAGCACTGAGAGCTGGGAACAGCTGACATCCCTGAGAACCATTTTAAAATTCTCTCCACCACCATTTTAACCCTTAGCAGTTAAGGCTGAGGGAACTGAGTGCTGGTGCTAGGTGGAGTGTTGCATGTGTGCTCCATGCTTATTTACTGCCATTTCATTTTTTCATTAAACTAAAACTTTCACCCCTTTTCCTCATTTTGGGCCAAGTTGTTTTCCACTCTGTAGTACAACACAATGGCCACAATGGGTGACCTCATCACGTACTTCACTATTGCTTCTAGGGGAGATATCTCAGTGTTTTTAAAAGGAACTGACACATGTAACCTTCGCTCACTGGCCACTTTATTAGGTACACCTGTTCAATTGCTTAGTAACACAAATTGCTAATCATCCAATCACATGGCAGCCACCTAATGCATTCAGGCATCTAGACATGGTGACGATGACTTGCTGAAGTTCAAACCGAGGATGAGAATGGGAAAGAAAGGAGATTTAAGTGACTTTGAACGTGGCATGGTTGTTGGTGCCAGACGGACTGGTCTGAGTAATTCAAAAACAGCTGATCTACTCAAATTTTCACGCACTACCATCTCTAGGGTTTACAGAGAATGGTTTAAAAAAGAGAAAATATCCAGTGAGCAGCAGTTGGGTGGACGAAAATGCTTTGTTGATGTCAGAGGTCAGAGGAGAATGGGCAGACTGGTTGCTGCAACATTCAGATGGTAGGGTCAGAATTTGGCGTAAAGAACATGAAAGCATGGATCCATCCTGCTTGTATCAATTGTTCAGGCAGGTAGCGGTGGTGTAATGATGTGGGTGATATTTTCTTGGCACTAGCAAGGTGTACCTAATAAAGTGGCCAGTGAGTGTAGATCATGGAACCCTTATTACTAAAGGGTTATCCTCATC